CACATGGCAACGGCAACGACGCCGACGACAACAGCGACAACGACGACGACGACGACGAAAACGACGACACCGACGACGACGACGACGACGACGTCTACGACGCCGACGCCGACGACGACGACGACGGCGGCGGCGACGACGCCGACGTCGACGACGACGAAGACGACGACGACGCCGACGCCGACGCCGACGACGAAGACGACGCCGACGAAAACGACGAGGAATGCGGGAGGACGACGACGGCGACAACGACGACAACGATGAGGGAGGAGGGAGGACGGCGACGACGCGAACGACGAAGGAGGAAGGACGGCGACAAGGACGACGACAACGACGAGGGAGGAGGGAAGACGACGCCGACGACACCGACGACGACGACGACGACGACGACGACGACGGCGACGAAATAGGAGGGACGACGACAAGACGCCGACGACGGACGACGACGACGACGAGGGAGGAGGAGGAAGGACGACCACGGCGACAACGACGACGGAAACGACCACGCCGCCAAAGAGGACGACGACGACGAACACGAGGAAAGACAGGGGACGACGTAGGCGACGACGACGACGACGCGGGAGGAGGGAGGGCGGCGACGACAACGACGACGACGACGACGACGACGACGCAAGAGCGCGCGCGCACGCTTTTGTTGAAAATCCGTGATGCGAAACCTTGTGGTTTTGTAGGTTTTTTGGACACACGGTGTTGAAATCCTTCCGAAACCGATGGGTATGGACGGATTTCGGCATACGCGCGCGACGACGCGCGCGTCTGCACTTCGTCCCATTTCTTGCAGAGGATTCTCGCGACGGCACACGCGCAAGGGCGTTCGACAGATTTCGACATGCGCGCGAAGCTCGTTTGGTAGTATGTTGTGAACATGTTAAGAAACCTATGGGTTTCTTAAGATTTCGCAAGAGCTCGCGCGTAAGCTGGTTTAGCAAATCAATGTTGCGAAATCATGTGTTTGTGCATGTTTTCTGGAAGCTCGATTGCGAAATCCTTCCGAAACCGAAGGCTTTTGGAGGATTTCGGCATGCGCGCGCGACGACGCGCGCGTGTGCACTTCGTCCAATGTTTTGCAAAGGATTCTCGCGACGGCACACGCGCAAAGGCGTTCGACAGATTTCGACATGCGCGCAAGAACCCCGTTTGGTAGTATTTTATGTTTTTTTCTTTTAACTATGGCTGTCTGAAGATTTCGCAAGAGCTCGCGCGCAAGCTGTTTTAGCAAATCAGTGTTGCGAAACCCTGTGTTTTTGTATGTTGTTTGGAGGCTCGATTGCGAAATCCTTCCGACACCGAAGGCTTTTGAAGGATTTCGGCATGCGCGCGCGACGACGCGCGCGTGTGCACTTCGTCCAATGTGTTGCAAGGGATTCGCGAACAAGTCTTATGTTAGATCAACAAATGTCCCCGCGTATCGTTTTTTGTAGAAGGGGAACCTCAGGGGGACCGATCCCGATTCCCCTGGGATGATGTAAATTCATATTTAGGATGGACACGTGGTCCTAATCATATATGATTTACATGTCCGAAAAGGGGGGCGGATAACGCCGGGGGGGGGGGGTAGAATCTATTCTCTTTTTTAGCAAGGATAATAAAAAGATCTACGAGCTGGCGTTACACTATCGAGGAGGCACGGCAGAGAGGCCACCTATATGGATACAGAGGGACAGGGGGGAAGACGACGGAGGATAAGGAGGTGGAAGGGGCTCGAATACGATAACAACCTTTGCATACCATTGGAAAGTCTGACTTGTGACCCGACTTGCTCTGCTGACCACGCAGGCGCCCCTCTTCCCTCCTCCCTCCCTGCCAACGTCTACGGCGAGGCGTGTGCACGCATGCCGAATTTAACGACGAGGAAATCCATGGGCCCCTCCCTAGGCTCTAGTGAGTTGTGTCGAGATGATCCCGAGAGCCCATCGGACCATCCTACCTACGACGCTCAATGGTACAGAACGACAACACATTTTGAACTGGGACCCTACGTACGAAACTCAAGGATACTTCGTGAGATCTAACGGCAACATATCCGAAGCCACCGGCTTATCACAGCAGATTGGCTGGCAAGTTCATACCTTTCAAGGTCAGATATCATACCCACGTTCCAGCGTTCGATCGGACAAGCGCTTCTTGGAGTTGATGTTGCCACATGTTTATGAATATATGACGAGTCGCTGGAGACATGCAGGCGGCAAGAGAAGGCCCGCACACGAGAAGATCTAGAGCTACGACCTGGCGCTCAACCAACTGGGACTAGTAGAATTTGGATTCAACATCATGGCGCTGCAGGACCAGAAGCGCAGGATCACCATGAACCTAGTGAGGTGAAAGCCGGGGGAGATGAGCGACATGCACGAGATGGAGAGGCTTGAGGACGTGGAGATCTCGCAGCACGAGCTGAACGTGTTTGACTACGCCATCCAGCAGTTCGTGTTGGTGAGAGGCTCACTGACGGACCGCCCAAAGATGTGGCCTCTCCCGTACGAGCGCGATCGACAACTCCCCAAACCAGAAGATCATGAACCAACAACTCGACCCCCACAATCATGTGAAGCGGAAGGCGCTCGGCTGAAACGAGAAACTGAAGGCGGACGACCCTAAGACGTGGACTGGGTGGGTGGATAGGCCAAAGTGGAAGTGGACGACCCCATTACGTGGATCGCCTATGGCTGGAAGCCCAACGGAAAAGGGGTGGTCACAGTTATTGTGACAGAAAAACTGCCCACGCCAGAACACATCAGTCCCGACAGCTCGCTGGGTTCCTCGTGGGAGCCCATGAACAAGGCAGCCAAGCCCAACATACCTTGGAGGAGCCCGAACCAGAGAAGGGGGTGACCTTCCACCTGCCTTTCACGGACCACCGCGAGGGCACTGAGGGGCAGGAGAGCCCAAAATCCAATCGACAAGTAGGATCGCCGATCGAATGGAATCGTATCGGCAATCGGCAGCCAAGTCGGCGGGAGAAATCGAATCGGCAGAAATCGGCAGGCTAGTAGGCTTCCATTGAGGACTCGGAATCCAAATCGGAATCCAAAGTCGAATCGAATCGGAAGCCATTGAAATCGAATCGAATCGAATCGGAGGCATCGAAATGCGCCCTGGAGGGGGGGGAGGAGAGGTGAGAGGCGCCTCCGCGCGGCCCTGTTCTCGCGTGCGCGCGCGGGGCTGGCGGCCCAACGACGTACCGGGCGGGACGCGGCGCCGCCGCCCGCCTCCCTCTCCGCTCGGCCTCGTGCTGCAGTTCTGACCTGCCTCCTGGGGTTGGGGCTCGGGCCCAGCCCCCGACCCCCAGAGAGCTGACGTTGTTGTTTGTTTCGATTTTGAACAGCCCACCCCCCTGCGCGCCCCCCACCCCTCGCCTCACCTGGGGGTCCCGGGGGCGAGGGCGTCTCAGAGGCACACGGCCCTGCATCCACATACCTCCCGTGGGGGCCCCGGCGAGTCCAGGCTTTGACCCGGACCTGCCCCCGAAGTGCCTTTACCTCATCTACCTGCTCTTTCGTCTTCTTCCTCCCTCGAGCCTACGAGAACGACCTCCTCCTCGACGTCCTCCTCCTCCTCCTCCTCCTCCTTCTCCTCCTCTTACTCCTTCTCCTCCTCCTCTCGAGCCTACTAGAAAATCCGCCTTCTCTTCCTCCTCCTCCTTCTCGACCTCTTGCCGGTGCCCCCCCAGTCCCCCCCCAAGAAGAAAACAACATATCGGCGGCGGGGAGAGGAGGGGGATGAGGAGGAGGCGAAGAACGGGGAGAAGGATCGATGGGAGAGGCGAATAGGGGAGGAAGACACGGGAGGATTGAGGGAGGATTAGATGCTCGTTCTGGGGACCGTCCTGGAGACACTCGTTCCACTCATGCGTCGATGCTGCGTCGAACGCACGTCCACTTGAGTCGAAATTGAGTCGAGCCAGAGTCGAGCAGAGCCGAACTAGATCCGAACTGGAGCGGAACACATCTGTCAGGACCCCAGGAATGTCCCCACGCACAGAGTTCGGGAGTTGGACGGGGCATAGCACAGGGAAAGGATGAGACGCACACTGCATCACATAATTAACAGAAGGGCCGATCTATCGCAATGGCAACAACACGGGCCGAGACGAAGGCGATAAGGCATCGTCGCCGTCAACTCACGAGGTGGATGAGGGAGGAAAGGGAGGGGGAGGAGGACGGAGGGAGGCGAGATGGGAGGGACTCGGAGGGACAAGCTCGGTGCGCTCGTGTCAAATCTGGCATCCTAACCTTCCCACCCACCCCTTCCCATTACGCTGTTTCTTCTATGATCATCCGCCGACGGGTGTCATAGCGGACTTGGAACAAGGACCCCACCGTGTCATGCACAACCACACCATGTGGAGCTGCGCACATTGGATGAGGATGTGGCGGGTGAGCAGGAGGATGATCACGAAGACGAGGAGGATGAAGGAGGAGGGTGAGAAGAAACGGCAGCAGGATGCGGGCGGAGAGAGATGCCCGGGGGAAGGTGGAGGAGGGGAAAGAAGCGGGGCGACAACGAAGAGGAAACTCTCGGACTCAGAAGCACGGCTCGCGCGTAGCGAAATCGGAATTCCGAACGATGGGATCCACCTGCCGCTCCCCAAAAAGAGGCCAACGCTGCAGCGGGATTACCATCTTGAGACACCAAAGGCGGTTTGAGCGAAAAGAGAATTGGAACCAAACAAATGGGAAACCCTGTGTGAAGCAGTACGCGGGGGGGGGGGAGGCGGGGCGGGCGAATCCCGGGCCACTTTCGGAGAGAGAATAATCGTATTCACATTGAACAAGTGTGGACAAAGAGGAGGCGGAACGGGAGGAAGAGGACGGAAGGAGGGAGCGAGGGAGAAAAAGGAAGAGGAGAGGGGGGACGGAGGGAGGGAGGGAGGATGATGAGGGTGAGGGAAGAGGGAGGGACGGAGGAAGAGGAGGGGGGCGGGGGTGAAACGACGGAAGGAGGCGAGAGGAGGGGAGGTGGGCGAGGGAGACATGCCGGTCCTTTCTCGCCACGTCCATGGCGGCCCGCAGCACGCCAAGATCGTCGTCGGGGTCCTCCGCCCGCAGCGGGGGGGTGGGGGGCGCGCGCCGCTCGGCGGCCGCCCGCCGCCCACCGCCGCCGGTCGGCGGTCGTTGTCGGTCCTCGTCGACGTCGGCGGCGGCGGCGGCGGTGGTCGACGGTCGTCGTCGGTCGTCGTCGGTCGTCGTCGGCGTCGTGCGCGGTCGTTTTTTCGGTCTCTTCGTGGAGCGAATGGAATGGGGGGGGAGAGAGAGAGAGAGAGAGGGAGAGACAGAGAGAACCCAAATAAGAGAATGAGAGAAAAAATAGGAGTTGGAGAGGGATACGCACACGCAACAAGGGAGAAATGGAGAAAACGAGCGAGAGAGGGGAGACGGATAACGAGGGAGAAAGGGAGGGGGGGAGAAGGAGAACGAGATGCAGAGAAAACACGCAATCAACAAACAACGAACATCGGGTTAGAGAGAAGGGGGGGAAACGCATCGTCGGCATCGCGGCGGTCGTCGTTGTCGTCGTCGTCGTCTCGCCCCACGGCCGCCTCGTCCAGGCCGGTCCTCCTGAAAGCCTGGCGGCGGCGGAATGCGCCGCAGGCCAAGAGACAACCGAAGACGCGCCCGCTGTCGCCAGCCCCGCCAGAGAGGCCGATGGGGGCCAGCCTGGACAACGACCCACCGACAGCTCGACGGTCTGAAGACTTCGGGCCCAGTAGAGGCTTCCCATCTGGGGTCGGAGGATCGCGCCGCCAACGCATCGCCGATGCATCGGCGCCGCCGGCGTGGAAAAGCATCTGGCTCCGCATCAAACAACGTCGGCGATGCGTCGGCGACGCGGCGCGATCCTCCGACCCTTTGCCCCCCGAAAAGCTTTCTGCTATCCACGCGGGCCTGAGTGCACCCACTGGGCGGCGCCAGTGCCCTTTCAGCCTCCCGAAGGGCACCCTGGCTTTTGCCGCTCGCGTTTTCCCGCGCGGGCGCGAGGTAGGAAGAAACAAAAACGCAGCCCTGCCGCGCTGCTGCGCCGGCTCGCGGCGCGCAGCTGCGCGGCAATAGATGCCGCGCAAATAAATGCAAATCGCTAGCGGGTCTGCCACATCAGCAGAAACAAGCACGACGGAGGAAAAGGCGGGCCCGGGGCAACCCGGGCACTGGCGACAGAGCGAGGGAAGAGGTAGTCGACGCCTCCCCCAGCGCACACGGGGCAGGAGGAACGCCGCGCCGCGTCGGAGAAGGGCTCGGTTCTGAGCCCCGCGGGTGCGCGGCGCCCCTTGCCTCCGGAACTGAGGGCGCCCTTGCTCTCGCCGACGACGTACGAGTCGTGTTCGTCGCAGGCGTTGTAAGTCTTACTCTTGCCCGCGCCGTTGATTTTCGGCGCGGCTCGTTTCATCTCGGTCTCCGCCGTGGCCTGCGCTGTCGCGAGGCGCGCCACGTTGGCGGACCAGCCGCGCTCGGTGGACTCGCGCGCGCAGGAAGAGTCCGCCACGCGCGCAGAGACTACGACCTCCTTAGCCGCGTCAACCTGCGCTTCCTTCATGAGCCTCGAAGGTGGCCGAAATCCGCCTTCCGGTCATTCTTCATCAGCTCCCCCACTTGCTCGGACTTGGGCCGTTCGCGCTGGCCCCTTCGCGGAACCGAGCGTTCTCCAGGATCACTGCGTCCTTGTCGGCAAGCTCGAACTGGCGCATCTCGATCTCGTTATCGAAGTGGCCGTTGATGCCGACGATGGCGGTGTCCTGCGCGCCGCGGGCGCGACGCCGCCGCCCCCTCTGGTGCCGCTTGGCCTCCTCCCCACACTTGGGCCGCGCTTCGGCGGCCTCCCCGAAAGGGCCATGCACCGCGACGTTCCGGAACGCTGTCGCCCCGCCGTCGATCTCGATCGGCCCGTCACGGACCGCCGCCTCGACCTTCGCTCGCAACACGGGTTTGATGAGCTCGGCACGCGCCTGGATCTCGCGATCCACCTCCGTGTCCTCGACCTGCAGGTTGCCGCCGCCAGCCTGGGCCGCTCGCCAGAGGGCCACCGCTGTGGCCGCCACCACTTGGTGAGAGCCGCCAGCGCGCACAACAGCACCGAGGAGAGCCTCCGCCATTGCGTCGGCCATGGCCGTAGCCAGCTCGAACCAGGGGCTGGGCGAGCAGTCTGCTTGAGAGAAAATGGCTACAGACATCCTCCGACGCCATCTGCTCGAACCCCATCTGGGAGGCCAAGGCCAAAGCCCTCTCGACGACCCCTCTCCTGCAGGACCGCCACCCTCGCCCATGCGAGGCCTCGCCGATGGCACCTGGGGCATCCGCGAGCGGCCTCCGGGAGGCGACAGCGCACAGAAATCTCAGACTCGCTTCGAACGGGCCTCCCGACAGATCCCCGATGGGGGGCAACGATGGGGAAGCATCGACCTGGAATCAGCGATGCGCCGCCCGATAGATCGGAGATGGGCCCGCGATTGCAAATCCGCACGGTCCTGGGCAGGGGGTGGGTTATCGGGCCCCCATCAGCGATCAACGGGCGTTTGGGGGTCAATGCATCCCCCCTGAGCCTATCCCCCCGTAGCCCCCGACCCAATGAATACCTGCGACGCTGCGGCCTTTCTGGGGCGTTCCTCTGGATCCCCACTCCAGGCTGGTCGGAGCAGGCTGGAAGGCCTCTCCAATCTGAGACTCCATTTTGCTGAGTCTCCGGAGGTCAGGGAACGCCGACGACGATCTCTGACGACGATCGTCGACGAACGACGACGAGCGACGGAGACGATGGCCGACGACGACGACGACGACGCCGACGACGAGCGACGACACACGACGACGAACTACGACGCACGACGACGACAACGACGACGACGACGACGACACACGACGACGAACGACGACGCCAAACGACGAACGACGATGCACGACGACGTACGGGGACGAACGACGGCACACGAGCGACCTTGCGACGACGACCGATACGGACGACGACGACGACGACGCACAACGACGACGACGCATGACGACGAACGACGACGCACGACGACGGGCGACGACGACGACGAATGACGACGACGACGCGCTTTTGGGCAGCATCTGCTGCGCGGCGGGCGGAGCGACCGCCGCGGCGAGGACGAGCAAGATGCGCTCGCTCCCGCGCATCTGCGGGGGACGGGGAGTGCGCGCGGCTGCGTGGAGAGGCCAAGGTGTAGTTGATCTGCGGCCCCTCTCACAAGGGATATGTCGACATATATGATCCAGGGTCGAGGGCCCACGGGCCCCCCCCCCCAGATGGCATGGTCCCAGGATTCCTCGGGCCCCCCCCCCCCAGATGGTATGGTCCCAGAGACGACGACGACGACGACGACGACGACGACGACGGCGACGACGGCGACGACGGCGACGACGGCGACGACGACGACGACGACCACGACGACGACAACGACGACGCGGCGGCGGCGACGACGACGACGACGACGACGACGACGACGACGACGACGACGACGACGACGACGACGACGACGACGACGACGACGACGACGACGGACGACGACGACGACGACGACGACGACGACGACGACGACGACGACGACGACGACGACGACGACGACGACTCTGAACCACCACAGCACCACACCACATCCACAGGGGGGGGGGAGGGGGGCACCGCAGTGCAACACCACGCCACGCCCACCTCTGAACCACCACAGCACCACACCACATCCACAGGGGGGGGGGGAACCGCAGCGCAGCACCACGCCACGCCCACAGGGGGGGGCGGGGGGGACCATCGCGCGGGGGGGGGGGGGCCCAATGGCATCAGCATTGGGGGGGGGGGGCCCAAACCCTGGACCATATATCCCTGGCTTCGTGTGGTTTTCGGATGGACCCACGATTCGGGGCCCAACTCAGGGATATAGGACAGGGGCGTCCATCCTCGAAAGGGGGTGCGTCCGAGTAGCCCCCCTCGGGTGTACCCCCGAGTTTCCCTCCTTTTCTGAGCGGCTTGATTTCGAAAGGAACAGTCAGGGGTTGGGGGCGAGAAATCGCCTCTGGCCCTCCCCTCCTTCTGGAGAGACCGTGCCGTACTCTTCGGCGGCAGCCCGGCTTATCCGCTGAGGGTGGGGGGGGGAGGTGCCAGCCGATGACCTGACTCATCCGAAGGCTTCGGGCAGCCCCACGCATGCCCGCACGCACCAGCACTGCGTACCTCTTCGGACCTACGCGACAAACAAGGTCTGGTTATCCGGAAGGGGGGGGGGCAGGCGGGTCCGATAGCCTGGATTATCGCCGGACCCAAAGCGAGCAGTCTCCTATCCCCCCTCCTCCCACTCCCAACTTCGTTCTCCTCCTCCCTCCTCCCCAGGGCCCTCCCACTGTCGCGAGGGTCGAAAATCGACGCAGCCATCCAACCCTCCTCCTCCTCCCCTCCGCCTCAGAAGCCACTAGAGAAGGCCCCGCACCTCCACGGAATAGAACTCCGTGAAGATCGACTGCAGGCCGCGCGGGCAGACGTCTGAAGAATACCTCCAGAATCTCACCAGCCCTTCAGGGCGGGAGTCTTTTAAAGGGGGTTCTCTGCCAACCCCTTTCTTCCTCTTCGGAGAGGGATTGATCACTGTTCCCTATGAATAAACGCCCCCTCACCCAGGCGACCAGCAGCCAACCAGGACCAGTGAGACCCCCCCACCATGACGGTGACGGTGACGGTGCCCGCAACAGTGTCCACGAGAGGGGACTAAGCGGGGCGGGGCTGGCGCGCCCGAAAAAGACAAATAGTCTGAAGCGACAGGCAAGGGTATCACGGCGAACAGCCCCATTCGTTATGTACAACAACTCGTCTCCAACTCCCTCCACTTAGATGTTCTGGCCACGTCGATCCATTCATCTGCCCCGGCACGAATGCCCAAGAATAGCTCCACGTGCCTGCGTAGATCATCAACCCATCGCGTCTGGGGTCTCGCTTGTCTGCGAACTGGTTGTCGGGACTCCGCGTGCAGAGCGGGCTCCCACAATAAGGCCTTAAGAGGTCCACTTATGGCGATCACATGCAACTTGTGCCGCCCATCTCCATTTCCTGCTTCGTTGGGTACTGTTCTAGTCGTCAACGTTCAGCTTCTGTCAAAAAACAATACGAAATCCACTCTTGGGCAAAATCTAGGGTCATGATCGGGGGGGGGCGTGAGCACTTTGTATTGTTGTTGACAGGGACGGCGGGGGGGTCCGCATATTGCCTGCTGTGCGCAGGTCCAGCGTCCTTGCCAAAAAACAATACACATGCACTTCGAGGCAGTATCCGGATCATGCGTGGGCACCCCGCGATCACTGCGCATTGGTTTTGACCGGGACGGCGGGGGAGCTGACAGATTGCCTGCCATGTGTAGGCAAACCAGACGCTATGATGGCCACCCGCCGAGATTCCGCACTGGTTTTCGACAAGGGTGGTGGGGGCCGACACGTTTCCCGATGTGTAATGCCACGTGCGCAGGCGCACTTTGCACGCTCTGCAAGTGCCCCGAACTTGGCGCACCTGACACGGCTGGAGCATGCGGCACACATGGCTCACGTGGATCACAAGGCGCATCTGGCGCACCAGGCGTCCCGGTACGCGTGGGCCACAGGGATGCCTGACGCACCTGGCGCGCGTGGCGCACCTGGCACGCATGGTGCACCTCGCCCCCGCGTTGCGCACATGGAGTCTGCTTTGGTTCCCGTTCGCTGTCCATCCACAGACTACGGCTGAACACGCTGCGGCTCGGGTGCTACTTCTGTGTTTGGAGGGCGGGTGGGAGTGAGCAAGACGGCTCAAGGGCGGGGAGGGTGTCTTGATCCCTCCCCCTGCCCCCTACCCCTGGGTCTGGAGGGGGGGTCCGCGGGTCGGTGGAGCGTCCAAGATGGCCTCGGCGAGAAGACAACAATCACTGATTTGACTTAAGCGTTTGGCCCATTTGGGCCTCCTGGGGGGGGGGCGCTAATATGGTACTCTCTTTTATTTGATCGAACTCCTCCTAGATGGCCCCAGGATAGCCCCCAGGGCTCTCAAGAGTGCCGCAAGAAGCGCCCAGGAGGCCCCAAGAGGCCCCCGAGATGTCCCCACGAGGACCCCAAGAGACATTCAGGAGGCCCCAAGAAGCTCTCCCGAAGCACCCAAGTCGCTTCAAAAGGCCCCTGGGACCGCCAAGAGGCCCCCAAGGCGCCCCAAGAGGCCTATAACAAGCCGTCAAGAGACATGGGAGGAGACTCCGAGAAGCATCCAAGAGGCCTCTGGCCTTCATGCTCGCCCTGCTCCTCCTCCTCCTCCTCCTCCTCCTCTTGTTCCTCCTCCTCCTCTTGTTCCTCCTCCCTCCTCCTACTCCTCCCTCCTCCCTTCTCCCTCCTCCCTCCCTTCCCTCCTCCTTCTCCACCTCCCCCTCTCCCGAGTCCTGCCTCCACCTTCCTCCACCTTCCTCCACCTTCCTCAACCTCCACCTTCCTCCACCTCCCCCCTCTTGGGGTATGACGTCGTACCCAACCCTGTATTCCGCTGCATGCTCCTCCACATTTCTGATCAAGGCAGCTCGTGTAGGCATCGTTTCTGGAGGGCTGGTACGGTTACGCGAAGCGTCTAGAATAGTTATCCTCCCTGTAGGTGGCCATGCCAGAAAAGCATCCGACGTCTCGTCCTCCTCCTTCTCCTCTTCCTCCTCCTCTTCCTCCTCTTCGTTATTTTTGTATTACACCTCTTCCGAATCCTCTTCCTACTCCTCCTCCTCCTCCTCCTCCTCCTCCTCCTCCTCGACCTCTTCATCATCATTCCTCTTCCTCCTCATCATCACCATCATCACCATCGTTATCACCATAATCACCATCATCATCAGCATCAACATCATATTCATAACCATCAGCATCAGCATCAGTATCAGCATCAGCATCATCATCATCATCATCATCATCAGCAGCATCATCATCATCATAACCATCATCAGCAGCACCATCAGCAGCAGCATCAACCAAATCATCATCAACATCATCATCATGACCATCACCACCACCACCATCACCATCATCATCATCATCATCATCATCATCATCATCAGCATCGTCATCATCATCATCATCACCGTCATCATCATCATCATCACCACCATCACCATGAACATCATCACCAACATTACACACATCATCATCATCATCATCAACATCAACATCATCATCATCACCATCATCATCACCATCATTACGGATGGGGTCTCTGTACATGGGTTATTCTATCTCATATGAATGTGACGCAGCCAACACGCAGCGAGAACCCCTGGGACACAACGGCTCCCAGGAGGCACAGAAATCTTTCGACCACAGCACAGGCCTCGGCGGTGTCAAACAACGCAAAGGGCCAAAAGGGCAGACAGCAAGCGTATCTCGGTGAAGATGGCGGCCCGTTGGCAGGCGCTCCACCCTGACCAAGGGTCCGCCCACTCTGGCTCCTCAGGGGGCGAGGGAAGGAAAGGCAGAAAACACCCGAGGACGCGCAGCTGGAATGGCGGCGGGCTCTGAGCCGCCGCTGCTCTTCAAAACGGCGCATCTATTACAGGGCTTGGCATTGGACAGCGAGAAAGACTTGGGAGAAAACAGTAGCGGTATGTAAACGCTTGCAACACCGATCATAACCAATCCCATACAAACCTGTGCGCGCACATCAATTCATGGGGAGGTCTCGGTACCGTGGGCTATTCCATCTCAGATGAATGTGACGCAGTCAACACGCCGCGAGATCCCCTGGGACACAACGGCTCCCAAGAGGTACCGAACGCTCTCGACCACAACCCATAGCACGAAGATTCGGGCATCCCGAAACACGGAGACTTATCCCATCTGGGACCAAGCCGGGCCGGCTGCCGGTGGGATCGTGCGGGCTGTTTGAAAATCCGAACAAGCAGGCGGCGCAACTTCGGGGAGGAGGGCTGCGCGATGGCCGCATTTTTTTACCGATCCCCCCCCCGTAAGGTGGAAATGCGCTGCATTAGTGCGATAGCACAAGCCATCCTTACCTGCGCATCTCATCTTCACGAGCTTCTCTACATGTTGGGCACGCACATTGCCAAAAAGTACTCGGAACCTGTTCCTGCAAGGAGCCCCCATCACTCCAACAAAAACACCACTTCATCGACACACGGCAATTCCAT